CAACTTCTTGGACAGGCCCCGCGGGTGACAACGGCATCTCACTTCCGAGACTGGCGCGGCAGCCTTCGGCGCGACGTTCCGAGCTGCCGAGAGGTCCTGGGCCCCGGGAGGTCCTCGGAGGCCTCGGGACAGGCGAGGAGGAGGAGGAGGAGGAGGAGGAGGAGGAGGAGGAGGAGGAGGAGGCGGAGGAGGCGGAGGAGGCGGAGGAGGAGGAGGAGGAGGAGGAGGAGGAGGAGGAGCCCCGTGCGACACCGCCACACGGACGACCCCGACGGGGCCGCGGGTGGAGCTCTGGGCGTGCCGGGATGACCGCGAACGGTGGAGCTCCCCGGAAGGCCAGAGAGGCCCAGCAGCGTGTGCGTCGGTCGTCCGCGGGACGGTCTCCAGAAGAAGCGAGAACGGCTCGACATAAGCTGTTGGCGCTCCGCGCGGATTGCTTGGATCTGTGCTGGGCCCCCCCTCCCTGGCGCGCGGAGCGCGCCAGGGGCGGCGCCGCAGGCGCCGCCCGGGGGGGGGGTCAGCGCGGATCCAAGAAATCCGCACGGGGCTCCGAAAGTCTTCGTTTGTGTCGTTGTTTCTTCTTCGACGTCCGCGGACGGTCTCTCTTGGGCGCCCGAGTTATCCGGGGTAACTCGGGTCCGGGGTAACTCGGGTTTGGATTCCCGAAAAACGAACCCGAGTTATCCCTGACCCGAGTTACCCCGGATAATTCGGGGCTCTGACTCTCCGCTGCGACGGCGCGAGCCACCGCATCGCGCACGTTCGTGGACGGGCCTGCCGGCATCGCGGCACGGCCAGAGCATGGCCACAAGAGCGCGGGTGGAGCACGCGATGCCCCTTCGCCACAGGCGCGCGGGCCCAGGGATGTACCCACTGCGAGAAGACATTCCAAGGTGAAGGGCCCAAGTGCGAAGAACATAAAGGGTACCCCTCCAAAGCTAGGGTTGTTCGTAACCCTCGTGCCAACAGTATTACAAACCTCGTCCCTGGAAGAATAAAGCCTGGCGCGACCCCAACCAGGGGAAAGACTATGGCATGGGCGCACCGCTGGGCGCATCGCTTGTCATTGTTTGGCATTACGTGGCATTGCGTGGCATTGCTTGGCATGGGTTGGCATTGCTTGGCATGGATTGGCATTGCTAGGCATTGTTTGGCATTGCCCGAGGATGTCGAGTAACCCGAGGAACCTGGGGAACCCGAAGAACCCGAGGAAACTTAGGAACCTCCAAGAAACGGGCAAAGTAGCTTCCCGAGACATCAACCTTAACCAGGCAAACCAAATTGGGGAACGAGTTTCGTTCTTTGTAACCTTCGTCGCTCCTCCTGTCAACGTCGCCTGGCAACTCTTCATGTTCGCTTGCGTGGCCCTTGACGAACATTCAGGAAATACAAGCAAGGCGCCCAGCACCTTTTCGGTACCAGTGTGGGGGGACATCATGGCGCGGCAGCGGTGCGTGCTTCGCGCCCACTGCTTGCTCGAGACGGTCTGGCCTCGCTCGCTCGGCCTGCCAGCCCCCGCAGGCGCAGGGGCATTGGCAGATACCCGGCGGCGCAGTGGCGTGCGGGGGGGCGGCGGGCGATGCCCTGCCCTGGGCCTCGCTGCGGCTGCCCGTGCTGCGCCCTGCCGTGGCGCCGCTGCGCGGCGCAGCCGGCAAGGAGCACCGGCCCCGCTGGCGAGCTCGAGCGGGGGAGCTGCCCCGTGGGGCGACGCTCCCGTCTGAGCGGGAGGCGCCGCCGCCCCCGGCGGCGAGCTGCTCCTCCCTCGCCGCGCCGCCCAGCTGCCGCGTGGCCGCCCGCGCCCCGCCCTGCGCCCGCCCGCGCGGCGGCGCCCCCGCCGCCTCCGGCCAGCGGGAGGAGGAGGAGGAGGAGGAGGAGAAGGGGGAGGAGGAGGGGGAGGAGGAGGAGGAGGGGGAGGGAGGAGGAGGAGGAGGAGGAGGAGGGGAGGAGGGGGGAGGAGGAGGAGGAGGAGGGGGGAGGAGGGGGAGGAGGGGGGGGAGGAGGAGGAGGGGTAGGGGGGAGGAGGAGGAGAGCGGCACCCGCTCCCCCGGGGGCGCCGCGCCCTCCGTCGCTGGGCCGGCGCGGCCGGGGGGGCCGTCGGCGGCGAGGCCGAGCCCGGGCGGGCCACGCCGGAGGGCGCCCAGGGCGGGGTCGGCCTGCGTCAGGCCCTGCGGGGAGGCCCTCCTCCTCCTCCTCCTCCTCTCCTCCTCCTCCTCCTCCTCCTCCTCCTCCTCCTCCTCCTCCTCCCCTCCTCCTCCTCTCCTCCTCCTCCTCCTCCTCCTCCTCCCCCTCCTCCTCCTCCTCCTCCTCCTCCTCCTCCTCCTCCTCCTCCTCCTCCTCCTCCTCCTCCTCCCTCCTCCTCCTCCTCCTCCTCCTCCTCCTCCTCCTCCTGGGAGGCCCTGGCCTGCGCCGCGCGGGGCGCGGCCACGCCGCTGGCCTGCGGCCTCTGCGGCGCCAGCAGCTGCCCCGAGACGCCGATCGCGCATGGCGTGGCGTCTCGGTCGGGAAGCGTGCTCGTAGAAAACGGTGTGCAAGACCCTCCAGGTACCGCCGTGGCGCAGTCGCCAGCAGCTGCCAGGAGCGCCTGTGCAGCGCGAAAGTCGTAGAACTCGACGACCGATTGCCCCGCAACGATGCTGACATGTGCCACCTCTCCGAAGTCCTGGAACCCTGCTATGCGGCGTGCTTTCTGTCGGCGGCGAGCTGGGGGGGGGAGTGAGAAGGGGCGGGCCATCCCGGAAGGCTCGGAAGTCCCCAGGCCTTCTGAGAAGTTTTCTAAGCCTTCTCCGAAAGCGCAAAAACACTTCTCAGAAGACGCGAGGGCTTCTGAGAAGTCCCGCCGCCTTCTGCGAAGGCCTTCTCCTTCTCCGTTCGCCCCCTCGCTCGCCGCCGGTTCTGACAGAGGCAAGGCACGTCTACCAAGACGATGCGACAGTCATGTGGCGCTTGGGGGAAAGGTGTGGCCAGGGACGCCATGTGCAACATTGCAGCCTGGGCGCACCGCACGTCAAAGTACGTCACCAGCACGGTACCGAGAGTGCTTGCGAGACTGACGTCGAGGCGGGCGATTTCTCCAAACTCAGAGAACTCCTGCGCTGCCTTCGTCCAAGCCGTGCTCCCCTGGCTGGAGATTCCGATGCAGACCGTGTTCGATATGCCCGCCGTCTGGCTGCACGTCGCGGGGCGCGGCGTGCTCGAGATGCACGCTGCCATCGCCACGGACGCCATGTCGAAGCTGCTCGGGCCCAAGTCAACGCCTCCCAGGGTGCCCCGGTCTGTGACAGGGGCCTGAGCTGCCCAGCGCTGCTCGCGCCGTTCCAGCTGGCGTTCTCTCTTGTGGCGAGCTTGCGCGCGCTTGATCACCCGGCGCGAGAGGCGCTTCCGCCGCTCGGGGCCGGGAGGCTCCTGGCTTGAGCTGGAGCTGATCGATGCTCGCCTCTGCAGTTCGGAGCTTGTGCAGTAGGTTTCTGACTGCGTCATCGGTGAACTCGAGCGCGCGCACTCCGTGCAATCGCGATCCGGCCCAACGAGGGAGAGAGAGTGATCGATGTGATCGTTTGGTGGTGTTCTGGCGATGGAGTTTTTGCTATGTAGATGTGGACGACAGTGCGGGCACTTTCGCGTCCGATCCAGACAATGGCTTGAACCAGAGTGGCTACGGAATTGAAGCGGGACAATGTTGAGCCACTGTGCAGTTTCGAAACATTGCGGAACTGCACCGTAGCCCCATCCAGAAGCATTTCCTTCACCATCCACGCGCCATGCTTAGAGGCCTCCCAAATGGGGTCCGAGTAGACGGGTCGGAGGATCACGCCGCATCGCCGATGCATCGGCGATGTGGCTCGATGCAGACCTCGACTTTCTCCACGCCGACGTCGCCGACGCAACGCAAACATCGCCGACGCATCGACGATGCATCGGCGATGTGGCTCGATGCAGACCTCGACTTTCTCCACGCCGACGTCGCCGACGCAACGCAAACATCGCTGACGCATCGACGATGCATCGGCGATGCATCGGCAATACATCGGCGATGCGGCGCCATCCTCCGACCCCACCTTTTCGGACCCCATCTGGGGAGGCCTAGAATGCTGCACAACGAAACTGAATTGAAGCGCCCTGCTCCTCCTCATCGTTACGTCGCACTCCCGCAGTGAGCACGCTGCCTCAACGCCGATTCGGAACAGTGAAAGCACTTTGGGCCCCCTCGCGGTGGATCTCATGAACACTGTGACAAGACACATTGGGAATGTGACTTCGCTAAACAAAAAACATAAAAAAGCAGCACAAGAGTTGCAACCATAGGTAATATTGTCTTCGTGGGGAGCTGAGGCGCAGCTGGGGAAACATCACTCAAAAGCGTGGGCTTCCGCGTTTGCGCAGCCCCATCTCGTGATTCAAAGACTTCTCGCGCAGTCTAACGCCAGGCGCAACATTCCAAATGACTGCCCTCACCCTCTCCGAGTAGGTCACCGAGTGAGATTCCAGGGCTTGTATATGAAAGGATCCCCTCCCGAAACTAAGAGTGACCATTGCGGCTGGCGTTGAGCAGCTAGCGTGCAACATCGGCCTCCGAGAAGGACGCCGTCCCTGTGAGGCCATCCCCCCGCGAGGGCCCCTTTCTGCGCGCGCCATCCCCCTTGCCAGGGCTGCCTTCGGCGCACGCTGTCCCAGAGGTGGGGGAAAACGTGTAGCAAGCGGGCTGGCGGCGCCACATCGCAAAAGGAGGAGGAGGAGGAGGAGGAGGAGGAGGAGGAGGGGGAGGAGGAGGAGGAGGGGGAGGAGGAGGAGGGGGAGGGGGAGGAAGGAGGAGGAGGAGGAGGAGGGAGGAGGAGGAGGAGGAGGAGGGAGGAGGAGGAGGAGGAGGAGGAGAGGCCACATCGTAGGGTCTCTTCGCAACGCCCACCGCATCTCAAAGGCCGGCCTCCCCCGTAGCCGCGCTGGAGGCGAGCGGCGTGCCGTCGCTCCGCATCTGCGCGTGGGCTCGCCACGGGGGCCTGGGCCCCCCCACGCGCTGCCCTCCGCCCCAGTCCCCTTCTGGGGCACGCACGGAAGTCGGGCGGGGCGGGAAGGACGGGAGGGGAAGGATGTGGAGGAGGAGGGGGAGGAGGAGGAGGAGGGGCAGCAGAGAAGGAGGAGGAAGGAAGAGAAGAGGAGGAGCAGGAGGAGGAGGAGATGAGAGAGATAGAGAGAGATGAGGAGGAGGAGGAGGAGAGGAGGAGAGGAGGATGGAGGAGAGGAGGAGGAGGAGGAGGAGGAGGAGGAGGAGAGGAGGAGAGGAGGAGGAGGAGGAGGAGGAGGAGGAGGAGGAGGAGGAGGAGAGGAGGAGAAGGAGGAGGAGGAGGAGGAGGAGGAGGAGGAGGAGGAGGAGGAGGAGGAGGAGGAGGAGGAGGAGGGAGGAGGAGGAGGAGGAGGAGGAGAGGAGGAGGAGGAGGAGGAGGAGAAAGAGGAGGAGGAAGGAGGAGGAAGAGAGGACGAGAATGAGGAGGAGGAGGAGGAGGAGGAGGAGGAGGAGGAGGAGGAGGAGGAGGGGGAGGAGGAGGAGGAGGAGGAGGCGGCGGCGGCGGAGGAGGAGGAGAAGGAGGAGGACAAGAGGAGGGAAAGGAGCAGGGCGAAACATCGGAGGGACGGGGAAGGGGAAGGTCCGGGGGGAGGGGGGGAGGGGGAGGGGGAGGTCCCCCTCCTCCTCCTCACTATCCTCTCTCCTACTCCTCCCTCCCTCTCCTCCTCCTCCTCCTCCCACCCATCCTTGACTCCCGACGGGTAGTTCATGTTCGACCCCTCGGCCCGAGAGGTCTCGAATTCCTTCCAGGGGGCAACCTTTCCTCCAAGGTCCATTTGTAACGGCACCAGGGAGCTGAAAAGGATGTCAACGACAGACTCGACTCGACTGCGACATCGTCGCAAAATCACGACCGCAATTCTAAACCTCATCTTTCTGCTGCATTTCTTGAGCCGGATCGATCTGTGAGGGCACCGGGGGCCTGAGAACGGGCAGAAACTACAGACTCGAACAGAACTGCGACGCCAGGATATCAAAAGCAGGCGGAGGAGGAGGAGGAGGAGGAGGAGGAGGAGGAGGAGGAGGATGAGGATGAGGAGGAGGAGGAGGAGGAGGGGCGGAGGAGCGAAGGAGAGGATGATGAGGAGGAGGAGGAGCAGGAGGAGCAGGAGGAGCAGGAGGAGGAGACGAACAACGTTCCTTCCAGCCGTCAGGGATCAGGAATCAAGAGGAGGAGGAGGAGGAGGAGGAGGAGGAGGAGGAGGAGGAGGAAGAGGAGGAGAAGGAGGAAGCCCACGGGGGCCCGACGCTATCTGATGAACAAGGCGGTGGATGATGGTGCCAGGGAAGGGGTCGAGCCCCATGCGCCGCCCACCTGGAGAGCCACTCCAGCGAGTCCCGCGTGCAGGTTGCAGAGGATAATTCTCATACATATGTAATTTCAGAGTTGAGCTCAGCAGCGGCGAGGTGGCCACCACCTCCTTCCCTCTCTCGTGCGGTCGGCATCGGGGAAGCGAGCGTGGTCGCCGTCCGACTGTGGTCCCCCCGCGCTGTCCTTGCCACAGGTTCCAGCTGCTTGAATAGGGGCCTGTGGTAATGCTGCGACTGTCCCAACGTTGTAAAATTTGCTGCCAAAGGCGACATGTCGCCAAGGGTGACATGTCGCCAACGCGTCACCCTTGGCGACATATCGCCAAGGGTGACGCGTGCCCTGGTTGGGGCGGAGCCATCCCTAGGGGAAGGGTGCGCCTCAAGACTGCTCAGAGGAGAAGACACGGTGGGCCCTGCACGGAGCGCGGCCGAGGGGGCCGCCCGTGGGGCCAACCCGTCCCCCTCCCTCGCTTCTTCGCCCCCCCCCCCACCCGCGCGTGAACACGACGTGGTGGAGAGTGCGGGACCTACTGTGTGCGGCATCTGTGGGACCTTCGCCCGTTCCCGGGCCCAGAAGCTGCTTCAAACATGTGATGGCCCGCTCCGCAGTGGAGGCGCCTGCCCACGAGAGTCGGCGCCGACATCGTGACCGCATCCTGGGTGGGGCGGGGCCCCAGCACAGGCTTGACCGCGAGGGAGGCTTGACAGCTTTGATCCCGACCATTATGTAATGTGGTGTTGGGTCCTCGTTTTGAAGAGACAGCGCCCCGCGTTACTCAGTCCTTCCTTCCTCATTCCTCCTCCCCTTACTCCTCCCTCCTCCTCCTCCTCCTCCTCCTCCTCCTCCTCCGCCGCCGCCGCCGCCGCCGCCGCCGCCGCCGCCTCCGCCTCCGCCTCCGCCTTCTTCCTCCTCCTCCTCCTGCTCCTCCTCTTCCTCCTCTTCCTCCTCCTCCTCCTCCTCCTCCTCCTCCTCCTTCTCCCATCCCTTGCCTCTGCCCTGGGCATGTCTTTGTTTCAACACAACCCTCACACCTTTCGTGGCCCTATTGCCATAGGGAGCTCCACCGAAGGCCCCGGTGGTAGCGCACCCGTGCGGTTCCGTCTTCCATCTCGGTGCCCACTCACACGTTTCGTGGCCCCACTGGGGGCTCCACCGAAGGCCTCAGTGGCAGCGCCCGCATGCGGTTCCACCGACGTTTCGGCGCAACCTCACGCGCTTTACAGCCTCATAGGGGGCCCCATCGAAGGCCCTAGTGGCTGCGCCCGCACTCGGTTCCACCCCCCATTTCGGCGCACCCCTTGCACGCTTCGTGGCTTCGTAGGGAGCGCCACCGGAGTCTCCAGTCAGCGCCTGCATGCGGTTCCACTCTTATTTGGGCGCGCCACCCCCACACACACGTTTCGTAGCCACCTGGGGAGCCTCACCGAGGGCCCCAATGGCAGTGCCCGCATGCGGGTCCACCCTGCATTTCGGCGCACCCTTCACACGCTTCGTGGCCCCTTTCGGGATCTCCGCTGGAGGCCCCAGTGGCAGCCCCCGCAGGCGGTTCCACCCCCTGGTTCGGCGCACCCCTCACGCGCTTCGTGGATTCATACGGAGTTCCACCGAAAGCTCCAGTAGCAGCGCCCCCGTGCGGCTCCCACCCCTTCTTTCGGCACATCCCTCACACGATTCGTGGCCCCATCGGGAGATCATCCGAAGGCCCCAGTGGCAGCACCCGCATGTGGTTCCACCCCCCATTTCGGCGCACCCCTCACACGCTTCGTGGCCCCAGTAAGGAACTCCACCGAACGCACCAGCAGCATCGCCCGCATGCATGCTCCACCCCCGATTCCGGCACACCCCGCACACGGCTCGTGGCCTCATCAGGAGCTCCACCGAAGGCTCCAATGGCAGCGCGCGCATGGCAGACCGGCACCAATCTTCGTACAGCCGTCACACGCGTCGTGGCCCTATAGAGTGCTCCACCCAGGAAGATACTCACAACCGCATTACTCACAACTCCATACAGGAATAATATTTTCTGAGTTCGATCCCTACACGATCCTCGCTCGGGAAAAGTGTCTGCGGCAAAATTGGTGAGTGGTCTGGAGGACCGCCTGCATAGTCACCCAGTTGAATTATCCTGGCGAAGTGCCCAACCATGTGCAGATGTAGATAACGCGGCTATGGGTACTGTCCTCGGTGAACCCCTCCATGGGGCCACGACGCGCGTGACGGGTGTGCCAAAAATATGCACGGGTACGGCATGCGGTCGCTTCCACTCGAGCCGCGGGAGGAGCCCCCTAAGGGGCCACGAAACGTGTGAGGCGTGCGCCGGAGTGGGGGCTGGAACCGCGTGCGGGCCCTGCCGCTGGTGCCTTCGGTGGAACTCCCTATGGGGCCACGAAACGTGTGGGGGGTGCTCAGAAATTCCAGGTGGAACCGCATGCGGGCGCTGACACTGGGGCCTTCGGAGGAGCTCCCTTTGGGGCCACGAAACGTGCGAAGGGTGCGCCGCCACGCAAGAATGCGGGCGCTGCTACTGGGGCCTTCTGTGGGGCTCCCAAACGTGTGAGTGGGGCGGCGGAATGCAGGGTGGAACCGCATGCGGGCGCTGCCACTGGGGCCTTCGGATGATCTCCCGATGGGGCCACGAACCGTGTGAGGGATAAGCCGAAATAAAGGGTGGGAGCCGCACTGGTGCGCTGCCACTGGAGCTTTCGGTGGAGCTCCCCTATGGGGCCACGAACTGCGTGAGGGGGGCACCGGAAATGGGAATGGAACCGCACGCGGGCGCTGCCACTTGGGCCTTCGGTGGAGCTCCCGATGGGGCCACGGTGAATGTAAGGGGTGCGTCGACATGGGTGGTGGAACCGCATGCGGGCGCTGCCACTGGGGATGGGAGGAGGGATGAGGGAACGAAAGAAGGAGTGAGAAAGACAAGGGGCGCTGTCTCTTCAAGACGAGGACACAACACCACAGGATGCTTGAGAACAAACAAGAAGAGGTGGAGGAGTCAGGAGGTGGAGGAAGAAGAGGCAAAGGAGGAGGAGGAGGAGGAGGAGGAGGAGGAGGAGGAGGTGGAGGAGCCGGCAGCGGCGGCGGCGGAGGAGGAGGAGGAGGAACTGGAGGAGGATGAGGAACTGGAGGAGGAGGAACTGGAGGAGGAGGGTGAGGAGAAGGAGGAGGAGGAGGAGGAGGAGGGGAAGGAGGAGGAGGAGGAGGAGGACGAGGAGGAGGAGGAGGAGGATGATAAAGTGGAGGAGGACGAAGACCAGGAGGAGGAGGAGGAGGAGGAAGAGAGCGGGCCGAAGGCGCAGGGCGGAGGCGCCCCGCCCGCCTTCAGTTCGTCGAACGCGCCACGTGTGGACTGCATGGAGGAGTAGATACTCCTCGGGTCCTCTCCGCGCTCGCGCGTCGGAGGCCGCGACGAGGACGCGCACGAGGGAAGGCGCGCGACAGGGGGGACCCTTGCAGGGAGGCAGAGGAGGGGTCCCAGAAACGAGAAGGCACGGGGCCTTCTTGGCGCGCCCTGAAGCTTCTGAGAGGCCTCCTCCGGCCCCTGTGCCCGCCGCCGACCGAGGCGGGCCCAGGAGGGTGGCCCGCCCGACCTTGGTCGGAGGAGGGCGAATCGACTCAACGGTAGTTGGCCTTCGGGCGGCCCCCTTGTCGCCACGGCTGGGCACAGCTCGGAGAACTGGTGCGCTCGGGCCCCGGGAAAAGTCTGGGGACCGCCTCTCAGTTGCCTTTCTCTCAACTCGCCCTGCTCCGATTTGGGCCGAAGGGAGAGGCAACGGACGAGGAGGAAGGGGAAGTTGAGGAGCAGAAGGAGGAGGAGGAGGAGGAGGAGGAGGAGGAGGAGGAGGAGGAGGAGCTTCTTCCTGAGGAGGAGAAGGAAGGATCCGGGCCGGCCCCATCAGAGCAAGTTTCGCTTGCACCCTCGTGGGCCCAGCAGAGGTGCAGGAGCTCCGGCAGGTGCCCTCGTTCGTGAGGAGGGCCAGTCGCGCACTGTCTGGGGCCGTCTCGCCTGCCTGGCACTGCTGGGGACATCCGCGCGCGCACGGGCACACGCACCCACTCCTCCCCCTCCTCCTCCTCCTCTCCTCCTCCTCCTCCAACCTCTTGCTCCACCTCCTCTCCTCCTCCTCCTCCTCCCTCCTCCTCCTCCTCCTCTTGCTCCTCTTCCTTCCCTCCTCCTCCTCCTCCTCCTCCTCCTCCTCCTCCTCCTCCGCCTCCTCTGTGTCATCCATCTCTTTTTCCTCTCCGGATCCACTTTGTCTCAAGTTGTTGTCTGAAGGGGGCTTCCAGCATCCAGACGAAATGGATCCCCCGGTATGAGTCCAACGCCCACCAACTTGTAGGCTAATGCGCGGCGCATGCTGGGAGCCTCAATTTGAAACACCCCCATCCAGCCTGGATGCTGGAATGCCAAACCTGCGGTGTGCCATGAGAGGCAGCATGGAGACCTTGGAAATCCGACCATGTCAGACTTACCCTAACCAGAGACTTGACCAACAATCGTCACTCAGGGAGGGGAAGGACGAGAAGGAGTCGAACGAGAAACTTGCCACCTCCGACGACGGCGACGACGACGGCGACGAGGGCGGTGAGAATCCCGACGAGGACAGGGAGAAATCTGGACTAGGACTCCTCGCAGGCACCATCATGACAAACTGCGCTGGTTCCAACTGCCACGGAGGGGGAGCCATCCCCCCCCCCGCCCATGCAGCGGAAACAACTCAGGCAGCATGCGCGAGGAAAAGTATGACCAGCATTCCCCTCGTTCTCCTGCAAACCCCCACATAGTCCTCATCGACTCTTCCATCCTCCTGATCTTCTCCCTCGTCGTCGTCCTCTCCCCATCCGCCTCGTCGCCCTCCGCCTCGTCGTCCTCATACTCCCCCTCATCTTTCTCCTCCTGCTCGTCGTTGTCGTCTTTCTCCTCCTCCTCCTCCTCCTCCTCCTCCTCCTCCTCCTCCTGCTCCTCCTCACCTCCTTCTCCTTCTCCTCCTCCTCCTGGTCCTCGTGAAAGTCATCTTCGTCGTGGCCACACTCCTCAATTCCCCACTCCTCCTCCTCCTCCTCCTCCTCCCCCTCCTTCTCCTCCTCCTCCGCCTCCTCCTCCTCCTCCTGATCGTCATCCTCATCGTGATCGTCATCCTCCTCCTCCTTCTCCTCCTCCTTGTGCGCCTCCTCCTCCTCCTCCTCCTGCTCCTTCTCCTCCTGCTGCTCCTCCTCCTCGTGCCCTGGCGCGGCGCTTCCCTGATGATGTTCACCATGTGGATGCGCGGGTCCGCGGCCAGGACGGGGAAGGCCTGCGCCCTCAGCCTGCGGCTGCGCGGGAAGGGGAGGAGCAGAGGGTGACGAGCAAGAGGACGACGAACTGGAGGAGGGGGGAAGAGGAGGAGAAGGAGGAGGAGGAGGAGGAGGAGGAGGAGGAGGAGGAGGAGGAGAGGAGAGGAGGAGGAGGAGGAGGAGGAGGAGGAGGAGGAGGAGGAGGAGGAGGAGGGGGAGGAGAGGAGGAGGAGATGGAGGAGGAGGACGAGGAGGAGGAGGAGGAGAGAGGAGGAGAAGGCGGAGGAGGAGGGGAGGAGGAGGAGGAGGGAAGGAGGAGGGAGGAGGAGGAGGAAGGAGGGAGGAGGAGGGAGGCGGAGGCGGAGGCGGAGGAGGAGGGGAGGAGGAGGAGGAGGAGGAGGAGGAGGAGGAGGAATGGAGGAACTGGAGGAGGGGGAGGAGGAGGAGGAGGAGGAGGAGGAGCAGGATGAGGAGGAGCAGGAGGAGGAGGAGGGGGAGGAGGAGGAGGAGGAGGAGGAGGAGGAGGAGGAGGAGGAGGAGGAAGATGAATTGGAGGAGGGTTGTTGGGGACGGGCCTAAGGCGAGGCGGTCCATGACCTCAACCGAACTCGGAAACCTCCGAGCTGACTCGCCTGCCTTCGCGCCAGGCTCGAAGGGAGGCTTCCCCGAGGGACTTCACCCAGGGGAGGTCTACAGGAGCAGGAGGACGAGGATGGACTTCACCTGGAGGGGGGAAAAAGACGAAGGCGAGGAGGACGGTAAGAATGAAGAGGAGGAGGAGGAGGAGGAGGAGGAGGAGGAGCAGGACGACGAGGGAGGGGAAGAGAGAGAAGGCCGCAGGACGACGGGACGAGACTGATGAGGATGATTACCAGGAGGAGGAAGTGGGAACGAGGAGCGAGGGTACGTATTGGCATCCATCAGAGGCGGAGGCGAGCGCGGAGGCGGACTGCTGAGGGGGACGATGCGAGAGGAACGAGGGGACAGAGAGAGAGAGAGAGCGATAGAGAGAGAGAGAGAGAGAGAGCGAGAGCAAGAGAGAGAGAGAGATCTTCGCAGAAGGCACCTATACACCACCAAGCGAGACAGAGAGACCACAAAGGCGCCGCGGGGCCACGGTGGCATGGCAGCGAGAACCGGCGCCTCGGCGCACGTGGCGCTCCGCTGAGCAGCCGCCCCGCCGGGGCGGCGCGCCCCCCCCCTCGGCTGGAACGTGCCGCGCTGACGCGCTGCCGCGCTCCGCAGCTGCCGAACCCCGCAGCCAAAGACAATTCCTGCTCTTGAAAAACAAACCACAACAGCAAATCACGACCACTACCACAAAAACCGCCGGAATACAGTCAACCCGTATAGCAGGGATGCGCGACAAGGATGCAAGGGCCTTGGAAGCCCACTTCGAAGCTTTTCGAGCGGGGCGCGGCCAACGAAGGCGGCCAATGATGGACCGAGGAGGCAAGGATGCAAGGGTACCCTTGGAAGGTTGCCCATCCTTACTATGCGGGTCGACGATAGAGTTCGAGGCAGATAGGGTCGGGGGACCACGCCGCATCGCCGATGCATCGCCGATGCATCGGCGGCGCATCGGCGACGCCTGCATGGAGAACATCGGGCTCCACACTGACTCGCACCGCCGATGCATCGGCGACGCGGCGCGATCAGCCGACCCCGTATACCTCGACCACGACTTGGCGCGGCTGGGAGTAAATGGCAACCGAACCGACTTCGCTTTGGACCACCCTAGCTTCCAAAACGAGAACCACACAATACCAGGCTGCCTGTGGTGTGGCCTGCAACGGCCAGGCTGCTTGACGAGGAGGCGCGCGGTATGGCTTGGCTCCGCCTGGATGCGAAAGTGGGGGATGTCATCCACCCTCAGACGGAGTGCCCGCGAGGGCCGCGCTTCGCCCCTCCATGCGCTCGTCCAGCAAGCGCGCCGCCCAAGAGGAACAACAACGTACCGATACGGTGGTGACCACACCGCGTGGTAAGTCAGTGGGGATTCGAGGTCATCGTACTCCGAGGGCGTCTCGGGCGACCAAGGCCTTCGAGGATCTCAAGACCGCGCGGTGACAGACCGCGCGGGAAGGAGCGCGTTTCTTTATGTTCGGCGATGACGGGTGTCATGGGGGGGGGGGGAGGGCGGGGGGGGGGTATGACGTGACGCCCCCCCCCGCCGTGTGGTTCCGGCACCACAGCCGCGCCCGCGCGCACGACGCGACGAGCGACGAACGACGAGCGACGACGACGACGCGAGCAGCATGTAAGTGGCGATCTGCCCCTTGCGCCTGTGTACACCACAACGCTCGCGTGCACCACGCCGCGCGTGTGCACCACAGCGCCTGCGTACACCGCAACAGCCGTGTGCAACGCACCGCCCGTGTATACCACAATACTTGGGAGCACTACAGCGCCGGTGTACATACACCGCAGCAGCCATGTGCAACACAACGCCTGTGTACACCACAGTGCTTGCGTGCACCGCAGCGCCTGTGCACGCCACAGCGCCTGTCTACACCACAGCATCCGCGTGCAACGCAGCGCTGGTGTACACCACAGTGCCTGCGTGCATAGGACAGGTAGAAGGAGCATGTACGTCAGGATCTGCTGCGGACAACTAAACGCCACGCCAGGAAAGTTCTGATAATCGAATGCGACGTTTTTCCCTCCTCCCTCCTCCTCCTCCACCTCCTCCTCCTCCTCCTCCTCCTCCTCCTCCTCCTCCTTTTCCTCCTTCTTACCCCCTGTCGTGCGGCTTGGCGTTACAACGCACGTGCGCATCTCAGCGTGCACCGCAGAATGGTCGATTGAATCGGTCCACTTGGTTCTCGGACGGCCAGTTTAGCTGGAGCCTCCTGGACGCAAATGGGAGTTAGGGTGATGCGGGCGGACTCGGGGGGACTCGTAGATTCCAGCGGCGCTCCTTCGTCCATGAGGATTTGTTTTCCATTGTTTTCTCTGGAATCCACACGCGCTCCATTTGTCACAAGGATTCCTTCTGAAATTCTATACACAACAATGGTGCTGTGTTGCACACGGCTGATGTGGTGCACACAGGCGCCGTGGCGTACACAGGCACTGCAATGCACGCAGGCATTGTGGTGTACACTGGTGCTGTGTTGCGCACGGCTGATGTGGTGTACGGAGGCGCTGTGGTGTACACAGGAGCTGCTGTGCCCGCAGGCACGGTGGCACAAACTGACGCTGTGTTGCACGCGGCTGCTGTGGTGTACATCGGCGGTGTGGTGTACACAGGCGCTGTGGTGCACGCGGGCACTGTGATGTACACAGGCGTTGTGGTGCATATCGCCACCTACATGTTCGTGCTACCCGTCCTCCGTCATTCCTAAGCATTCCCAGACGCCGCTGGCGCGAAACGTGACGTCATCGACCCCCTCCCCCCCCAGATGATTGCCGTCATCGGCCCGGACTTAAAAACAGGCTCCAGCCGCGTCCGCGCGCACGACGACGATGAGCGACAAGCGACGAACCACGGGCGACGACGACGGACGACGACGACGACGACGACGACGACGACGCCTGCGGACCAGACACCTATGCGGATTCCTACGCGGACACCTACGCGGATCCCAATGCGCACGGCGGCAGTGCCCGGAGCGCACTGGGGGGGGAGCGTTACGTCATAGGGGGGGGGGCAGCGGGGGCCATGACGCCCGTCATGCCCCAAGCAATAAAGAAACGGGCTCAAGGTTCTCTCGGCATGCCGAGGTCACCACGCGGTCCGTCACCGCACGGTGTTCTGCCCCTCTGGACACCGCTCGTCCCCGCCCCCCTCGGGGTGCGTTCTGTCAAACACTTCGAGGCGAGTCCAGCCATGGCGACGAAGGCCTCCCGGGAGACCCGAGAGGGCCAAACCGAGGCACGCCCAGTTCCGTTGCAGCCGGCGTGCCAGATGCCGCGGAGCAGGCAGGCGGGGCACACGAAAGCAGCAAGCGTGCAACGAGGAGAGAGGGAGGGCGCAGAAGCACATGGCGCGAGCAGCTCCCGCCACTCCGTGGAACATCGCCACCCTGCTTTCCTAGAAGGGGCCCTGGGACACACAAACAAATACACACAAATAAAAATATTCCCCATATGTTTCCAGATTTTCTGGGTGTTTGTCTTCCCCCCCTTCTTCCCAGATGTTCGCATATCTTCTGAGGAATCGACGATGAATTGTGTCTGCGTGTCTTTTCCCCTCCTGATTCCTCCTCTCGGGTCGGGCGAAAGGGGGGGATAGCAAAGGGGGGGTTTGAGAATCAGCTCACGTCGCTGATTTTGCCGGCGCCTCCCGGCGCCGGAGGCGGCCATGTATCGAGGCACGGGCCCCTGGGTGAGGCCGAAACCAGCTGCATGCAGCAGATTTCGTACCCCCCCCTTTCCCAATCCCCCCCTTTCGCCCGGCCCGATCCTCGGAGCTCGGCCAGCCCCGAGACACGGCGGCCGCAGCTCGCCCCGGGCCCCAGCGGGCCAGCCCTGCGGCCTCGGCCGGGCGAGGAGCAGCCACCCGGCGCCCCGCAGCCGCCAGCCACGAGCCACGAGCCCCACCGACACGCGCCGCCTATGCCGAAGGGGCCCTGGGACACACAAATAAATACGCACAAATGAAAAGATTCGCCATATTTTCCCATATTTTCTGGGTTTCTGTCGCCCCCCCACTTCCCATATTTTCCCATATTTTCTGGAGAATCGACGATTAATTGTGTCTGTGTGTTTTTTCCCTCCTGATATGCGGCACCCGCAACGCCGGGCAACGTGCCGCGGGATGGCCCCGGCCTCAGAGGGCGCAGGCGAGCCGCCCAGAGATGCTCGCGTGGCGAACTTAAGACGAGCGCCAGGCACTCGTTTTTGCCGACGGTTCTCGGCCTCGGGGGGGGGACCTCTCCGGGCCCCAGAACCGAGACAGAAACAGCTCAGGATGAAGAGCTGGTCCTGGCGGGGAGGTCGAGGCCTCTCGGGGTCGAGGTTGTAGACAAATCCTCGCCGTATCCTCCGAATCGCCAGGCCGCCCGCCCACACGAAGGAGGAGGAGCCAGGCGGGCGGGCCCACGGAGGCGGGAGGTTGGTGGGCCCTCCTCCCCCAGAGGCCTGCTGGATGGGGTCCGGGCAGCTGGTGTCTGAAGATCGCGCCGCGTGGCCGATGCATCGGCGACGCATCACTGGCGATGCGTCGGCGGCGCCAGCGTGGATAAAACCGGGCTCCACAGCGAGCCGCATCGCCGATGCATCGGCGAGGCGCAGCAGGGCATGCCCTCATGCGCACGAGCGCTGCCCGAACGCCAGAAGCTGCGGGGGGAGCAGCCGCACCAGCGGGCAGAGCGTGGGCCCATCCCGCTCCGTGGCGATCCAGGCCCTCCGATAGAATAACAAGAACTGCACAAACATAAACGGTGGGACTTCCAGAAGTTTATGCTTATGACTTCTATCCCAAAAGAGGGCTGGTACTTACGGGTGCTTGCTTCTGCAAGAGGGAACTGGGGGGGGGGTTGTCGGTCTGGCGGCCATGTTGTCGCCGTCGCAGCCCCGTCGCCGGCTGGTCACCACCCGTGGTCCGGGGGAGTTGTCGGTTTGGCGGCTGTGTCGTCGTCATCGCCACCCCGTCGCCGCCAGTCGTCTGGGCATGGCTGTCGGTCTGGCGGCCATGCTGTCGCCGTCGCCGCCCCGTCACCGCCTAAATGACACAGCGTAAATCATTGTTGAAAAAGTAAAATGTCCCCCCCCCTGGACTTAACGGGTCACGTTTTCGTTTGGCTACTTACATATGATTATGCCCCATCGTCCATCCTGAATATGAGCTCGTACCATCCCAGGCGATCTCGGTATCGACCCCCGCCCTCATCCCTCTTAAATGACCGTACGCGCGCACTCTTCCATCAAAAACCATGAATGTTCAACCATCCTTCGCCAGAAAAAAAACGAAGTGGGCACGCGCGCGTCGTCGCGCGCGCATGCCAGAATCGGTCAAAAATCTTAGGTTTCGTAAGGGTTTCAAAATCGACGGTTTGGAGAACGAATGAGAACACACTGTTTCGCAACAGGGACTTTCAAACAAACGAATGTCGCTCGGGCTCTGGCGAATTCTTAAGGAAATCATCGTTTGTTCAACATGTTCGAAAGATGCGACCAAACGGGCATCGCGGGCACAACTCGAAATCGTTCGAACGCATTTGCGCGCGTGCTGCCGCAGGAACGCCTTTCGACAAATGGGACGAGGTGCGCACGCGCGCGTCGTCGCGCGCGCATGCAAGAATCCTTCAAGAACCATCGTTTTCGCAAGGATTACAACAACGAGCGTCCCGACAAGATACAACACATTATGGTTTCGCAACCTCACTTTTCAAAAAGCCTGCGCTCGCGCCCTTGCAAATTATTACAACACTTGTTCAACATGTTCATGGAATTCTGCCAAAAGGGCTTCTCGCACCGCATGTCAACAGCATTCGAAAGCGTTTGCGCGCGCGCCGGGGGGGCACCATCCGTGCCAAAGAAAACCATGCGGGCCACTCTCGCGCGTCGGCCGTGCGCGCATGTCGAACTCCTTCCAAAAACTTCATCACCGACGCGACGGCGCCGTCATCGTCGTCGGCGTGATCAGCATCGGCGCAGTCACTGGCCGTGCCGTCGTCGTTGTCATCATCGTCACCAACATCGCTACTATCATCACCGTTGTCGACGTTGTCATGATACCGCGCCCGCCCAAGTCGCCGACTCGCAGTGTAGTGCCCGCTGCGATGCGTCCAGCGTTCAGCGCCACCGCGGCCGCGTCGGTCGCGCCAGGCTAGCTGGCCGCTGCGGGCGCGTGCATGTGCGGGCAAGCGCGGCTGCAGAGATGCACCAGCCAACACCAAGCACTCATCGCAATCACCCCCGCATGGGTTTTGCAAACCAAGTTGCGGGTGGGTGGGTGGGATGATTGCGGGAGCATTGGAGTTGACAGCTTCAAGTTGAGCACTGTTGAACTGTACCGCATAAGTTGCACCACGTAGACTGCACCACATACATTGCAGCACGTATATGCGTATAGTTACATGTATGCACATATATATATATATATATATATATATATATATAGCACAGCATATACTGCACACGGTATATTGTTCCACGTATGTTGCACACCATATAATGCACCCCCGGGTTGGGCTGCATAGGCGCGTATGTTGTACCAAGTAGATTGCTCCACATCTATTGCACCACCTAGGTCTCATAACAGAGATTGCACCGCATCACTTGCGTGCCAAGTCGGGATCCCTTTTCTAAAACAAGAATCGACTCTACCCCTCCCCCCCGGGAATTAACGATCCACCTTTTCGCGTTGCAATTTAATATGATTATCCCCCACCATCCTCTGCAACAAATATTATGCGCGCGCTCTCGTGTATAAAAAACCATATGTTTTCAATAATCCTTTGGGAAACAATGGGGCGAAGTGCGCACGCGCGCGCCGTCGCGCCCGCATGCCGAAATCCTTCAAAACCCTTCGGCTTCGGACGGGTTCCAAAATCGCGTTTCCAACCAGCATGCAAAAACACAGAGTTTCGCAACAGTGATGTTCAACAAAGCTTACGCGCGCGCTCTTGCGAAGTTTTTGAAACAAAAGCTATATGTTTTCACTATTTTTGAAAATGCTTCCAAACGGGCTTCGCGCGCGCGCAAGTCGAAATCTGTCAAACGCCCTTGCGCGCGTGCCGTCGCGAGAATCCTCTGCAAAAAACTGGACGAAGTGCACAAGCGCGCGTCGTCGCGCGCGCATGCCGAAATCCTTCGAAAACCTTCGATGTCGGAAGGAATTCAAAATCGTGTGTCCAAAAAAGATACAAAAACCGAAGGTTTTGCAACACGGATTTTCAACAAACGCGTGCGAGCGCGCTCTTGCGTCGTCGTCGTCGCCGTCCTCCCTCCTCCCTCGTCGTCGTCGTCGTCGCCGTCGTCGTCCTCTGGCTTTTCTCGTCGTCGTCGTCTTGGCGTCGTCGTCGTTTCCGTCGTCGTTCTCGCCGAGGTCGTCCTTCCTCTTCCCTCGACGTCGTCGTCCGTCGTCGGCGTCTCGTCGTCATTCCTCCTATTTCGTCGCCATCATCGTCGTCGTCGTCTTCCCTCCTCCCTCGTCGTTGCCGTCGTCGGCGTCGCCGTCCTCCCTCATCGTCGTCGTCGTCGGTGTCGTCGTCGTCGTCGTCGTCGATATCGTTGGAGACGTCGTCGGTGTCGTCGTAATCGGTGTCGGCGGCGTCGTCGTCGTTGTCGTTGTCGCTGTCGTCGTCGGCGTCGGTGTCGTTGCCAAATGCCATTTGGTTTCTACCGTCACGGTCTTAAGAGATTTTGCAAAACAAGTTGCGGGTGGGAGGGTGGGATGTTTGCGCGAGCAGTGGAGAGGACAGCTTCAAGACACGCAAAGTGAACTGCACCACATAGATTGCACCACACATGCTGAACCACAGAAATTGCACAGCATAGATTGCACAACATACATTGCACCACACCTGTTGCACAGTATATAATACTCCACATAGGTTGCACACCATACATTGCTAAGACACGCGCTGCTGGGGGCCCATGCTGGCCAACACTGCTCACTCTATCCCTCCTCTACCCGCACATTCACCTCTTCGCCATCCTTCTGACCTTGCCATTTGCATCACCACTCGTGACCCCCACTCCTGCTCCAGGTTGGTGGGTCACGTGGTGAATGCATTGTGATGTAGAGGTGTAGAAAAGGGGCAAGGTTACGCTGGGGGCACCGCCTGATGAGCGGAATCAGCTGATTCAGGCTTCTGCGATCGTGCGGAATGTGCTCTTAACCAAATCCTGAACAATGAAATCAGTGTCCGGGAAGATGATGGGGATGTCCCCGCTGTTACCGCTCGGAAGCACGAGCAAGGGGGCCGCAAAGCAAGCCAGGTCAGGGTGTCAGGGGCCAGTCCGGCCCACAGGCATAGCAGCAGCAGGGCCCAACCCAAAGTTTACAGTGCTAGTCCTGGCTCGCAGCAGGTGCACACGAGAAAAACCCTGCGATCAGGCATGCAGGGGTGCATCCGTCATCGATCCTCGACCTTCCTATGGTGTCCTTCGGCTTCTGTGGATCCCTGGGGCCCTGGAGGGATACAACGCCTGTGTTGGGTACCTGCTGGCAGGCTGGCTTCTTGTTTCTTGTGCCTACGGCCGGCCTACGGTGCAGCGCAGCAAAGTTTCGGGCCTATGGGCCCAATTGATGGTCTTGAACGCGACGATGTCCGCGGCCTTGCACGCCTCCGCATTCAATCCCACAGTTTCTAAGGCAGTGTGGGATGATGGAACTCATGCATGCACTGCACGCGTAGACTGCATCGACATCACAGGTGGACCAACTAGAAATTTTAGTGCCACCACAACGAGCATGACGGCTCCAACCTCGACCACTGCAAACCACAACCAATGCTACGCTGCAGCGTGAGGCAGAGGAGCGGATGGCGGTCGCCAAGCTGCACGAGTAGTCGCGAATGCTTCCTTAACAAGCCGTGGACCGTCGACACCGCATATCATGGGGAAGGAAAGATCGACAGGATCTCTGTGCCCTCGCCAGCTCTAGCCTCTGGCCAAGAGACCGGAATACTGTGAACACAACAAATGACACCGTGAGGCACAAGGTTAGGTCGGGCGGGGCTCCCGCCCCGCAACTCCACAGCACTGACAGATTGGACAGGGCATTGCGATCGTTAGCGGCAGCGCAGTCAAGGCAGCACGTGACCATCACTACCGTCATTACATCATTACCATTGCCGTCGCCGTCGCGATCAAACGATCAGAACCAGCGTCAGCATCAACCTCCACGTCGCCACTAGCAACGATGAGTGCACACAACCTGGGCTCCGTGCTGACCCGCCAGCACCGCCTTCCGCAAGCAGCGTTCTGTTAGTTCGGCTCGGACCAATGCTGGCGGATACTGCCCGCGAACAATGGCATGCTTTTAATCCTTTCGTGTGCAATCATTTTTTCCGTACGGACTCGATCAATGTCTGAGCCTGGGCCTATATGGCTCACTGAGGCCAGAAGCTGCGACAGATAAATACTTTGAACGGTGTGAAGCCTAATTGCCAACACTTTGCTGGCGCCTCTGGCGACTCGGGCGACGCGCCCCTCGCGCGACGCCTTGAGCTGAACCTGCGCTCGGTCGGGGATGCTGTGGGTCCACACTATCTGCCAACGTGCCAGGCTTGAGAAATCCGAGGGCTGCGGCACAGGCGGGAAAGAACATTGATGCAATGCGGAGGTGGACAAGGAGGGACGGGGGAGGTGCCAGCGACGCGCAGGCGCGGCCTAGCACAGGAGGGACAGGGCGCCTTAATACTCAACATTGTCAGTAACATGCGTGGGGGCTGTGTCCAGGGCCGTGGTGGAAAACGTACGGGGTGGAGAGGCCTCGTCCCCAGGTGGTAACTAAGCTGGCCACACGAGGCCGACGGAGCAGACAACGGTGCTGAAGCACAGGTGGTAATCGTACCACTCAGGGTCGTAGGTGTAGACGAAGAAATCAGAGCACAAATGGTAATTCGACCACTCGCTCCAGGTCACGGAAGTGCCAGGAGAGAATGATGAGGGGGACGGGGAGAGGAGAACGTCGGATTATAAAGAGTAAAACATGACGAGGACGCAAGGAACCAGCAACGGTTTTCCACCTCAAAGCCGAGTGCTGCGCGGAGCGCCTGTGCGAAGGACATAGTGAGCACATTCACTCTGCTGACCCGCCGTCGCTGCTCTTCACAGGGAGGCCCAGCAATCATGAAGGGCAAACGGGAGAGGGGGATTGGAATGGAAATCTGCGCGCCGGCTGCGGTAACCGAAGCGGTCCTCTAGAGGGCAGACCGTGCGATGAGCACCTCGGAAAAATGAAGGAAACGAGCAAACACTGGAAAATCTGGTTAATAGATCTTCTGGTGCGCCGCGCCCCAGAAATCGATCTTTCTCTGTATGTATGTACGGAAGGGTCTATACACACCTACTCGGGGCAGTGTAGGATAAAAGGCATTCAGTCTGAGAAACACTGCTGGCTAAAAAAACAAAAGGAGGAGGAGGAGGAGGAGGAGGAGGAGGAGGAGAAGTAGGAGGAGGAGGAGCAGGAGGAGGATGAGGAGGGGGAGGAGGAGCAGGAGGAGGAGGAGGAGGAGAGGAGGAGGAGGAGGAGGAAGAAAAGGAGAGGGGGGCAGCCAGCAGCACGCCGTGAGCAAATCTAAAGTCAGTGGGTCAGGCGAAACAGTGTCTTATCATGTGCGACGCGCGCCACCCGATCCCCAGCGGGGTCTGCTGACAGAGCGTTTGGCTACAGTTCTGAACCACGGGATCTAACATGCTGATATGATGTTCCACCTTCCTTCGGTGCCCACAAAGAACCATGCATTATAATGGACTGTCTTTCCGCTTGAAGTCTGTCCCAGTCATTGATGTGACACTTGTTCCAATATTCATCGGCTCGAGAAATTGCACGTCCTATATGGTCCACCCCAATTTGGTCAGCAAGTCTCGCCACGCGGAATATGCTGCGAAGCATCATTCCCCGGACGATTCTGAATCTAAGTGAAGTGGCGGTGCCCATCGTCCAACACTCACACCCGTACAAAGAAGCTGGCCGGGATCACCGCGCTGTCAAATAATCGCATTCGTCGCCGTAGAACATACGTCCTCGTACACAATACTTTCCGGAATTTCGCACGATATTGCCACGTTTGTGCCCATCGGTTCGTGAACTCGACCTCGTGGTAGTGGCCCATGGATAACTGTTTCCCCACGCATATTTCAAACACTTCTAGCTTCAAAATGTCGACGTCGTGTCCAACCGTGTTAATACATTTCTTTTCCCAAGGTGTTATCCATTCGGTTGCCCCGACATGCCACGCGCTGGAACGCACTGCCTCTCCCTCGCCGCCGACAGAAAACCCCAAGGTGTACAGGTAGACAGTACTGTACTTTGTAACCTCGTCCTTGAGGTCCCTTAGCATCTTGACCACGGCCGCTTTGCTCTGGGCTAATAAGAAGCCGTCGTCCCCAAACCGGAGATTCGCCAGAGGACGCAACACGCAGTCCACGACAAAGCCGTAGTAGTACTATCCCGCCCTACGAAAGTTCAGGTTGCTCCACTTTTTCTTCACACTGCGGAAACATACTTCCATTACTGCCTCAAAAAACAAAGCCGATATTGGATCTCATTGCTTCACACCACGTGATGTACCAAATGTCCTTGACTCGGTCCCCGCCACGACGAACAAATCGACGCACTCAGGTCCAACTCCCAAGCCGGCCAATACCTTCCAAAGCGCAGAATGTTCAACCGTGTCAAATGCTTCTTTTTCGAAACCTACCAACGCAACCCAGGAAATTTTAATTGTATTCTGCACCTCCTTCTGTGAGTAAGGTCATGACCATCAGGTGGTCCACTGTTAACTTGTCACTTGCTGTATACAGCCTGGTCTGGAGACTGCTCTGAGATGATGATCTGCTGTAGCCAGTTGCATAACATGCGCGCAAATAGCTTATATAATACTGGAAGGATCGCGATCAGCCTGTAGTTCTTCACAAGTAATGGAAGGGGAAGGAAGACCCACAGGAGGAAGCTCAAATAAGGGTAAATAAAGGAGCGCGAACTGTGGGAAACCAAAGGTATGGTTACAGAAGGCAACGCGGCACATGGATTATGAATTTCCGTCAGGTTGTGTTTGGGGCTGATTACCGGCTAGGACTGGTTAGCACAATGCACGCCGATCTGCCAACCAGCGACCTGGACTAAAACCTGTGGCGCAACAGAACCTCGGGCATCCTGGGCGGTCAAGGCGAAATCCGGCCTGCTGCGAGCAACAAGAGCTGCAATGCGTACCAGCCTCACACCTAACCTTCACTTAGAGCGGGATGGCAAACAGCAAATCACTAAATTTGATGCACGTGGACGCGGGATAACACTGAGTCGAAAAATTCTGGAAGAACTCGTGCCCGTCAAAACTGGCACACCTTTTGTGCTGCGAGCAGCGCCACTGACACAAACGCCAATGAGGCACCGAGGACGGCTTTGAGCATCCACGGCTTTCGAAGAGGACAACCTGCCGAGTCAAGGAGAAGACCACATCCAGATAGCTGATCAAATCATTCAAGGCTGCGGCCCCACCCTGTGCGCCCCAATTCTGAAGGGGCCCCAGGACACACAAATAAATACACACAAACAAAAATATTCACCATATTTTGGCATATTTTCTGGGTTGTTGTCTTTCCCCCCACTTCCCATATGTTCGCATATTTTCCTGGTGGTCGACGATTAATTGTGTCTAAATGTTATTGTAACGCTCTTTTATACTGCTTGTTCCCCCCCCCCTCGTGCCGTCCTCTTCTGCGTCCTCCCTCGGCTCTGCCGTCCACAAGATTTCGGCTCTAAGCTTGGGGTCCCAGCGGACCCGTGGGCAGAGCCGTCCCCTTTTTTGGAAGATTGCACGGGTCGGGCGCCGCCCGACGGCCTGGCCATCCCCCGCGGAGGGCCCAGACCCTCGTCACCACGAGGGCGCGGTGGTACGTCGCGGCCTGCGCGGCGGGCTGGATCGGGCCCGACCTCGCCGAGGAGGGACGACCTCTCTTCGGGTTCGCGGAGGCAGACGAGCAGTACGAGTCGGACAGCGCGGACTTCGAGGACGCCGCGGGGCAGGTGATCATCGTCGGGACGAAGGCGTCAGTCGTGATGGCGCCGTGGGCGAGGTGGAACCGCATCTACCTCAAGACGGGAAGCAGCAGCGGCAGCGTCATGCTGCTGATCAGCAAGATCGGCAAGTCGAACAGCACGCTCTGGACGTGCGCCGACCCCACCCTGCGGGTCCAGGTCGTCAGCGTCCGTGACAAGGACAGGGTTTTCACGAAACCCAGGGTGGGCATCCAGTGGACGGAGCACCCTGGGTTGAGCGCGGCCTCGCGCGACCTCGTGCTGGCGGCCTCGGAGAAGCTCATCGCGAGGCGGGAGCTCGACGGCGGGGGGTCACAAGCCCAGCCCGAAGGCCAAGGCGGCCCCGAAGTCTAAGAGGACTGGGAAGAAGAAGGAGCACTTCGTGTGGTGGGCCGTCGGGGGCGCCGTCAACCTGGTGAGCTTCGTGTGGCTCCGCCGCTCGGGCGGGTTCTGCGTGGCGGCGGGCTTCCTGGGCTGGCGCGCCTGGCGGGCGCTGGGGCTGGGTTCGGCGCTCAAGTCTTTCTACGAAATGGTCGTCACGGCAGGAGAAGCGGCTCATGAGGCAGGACAGTACTACAAGATGGCCGAGGAGATGTGGGAGGGTGGCGAGCTCGAGACGATCCTCACCACCCTGGGCTGCGTGGTGGCGGGTGCCTACGTCTTGTTTTGGATGTTCCACGGCGGGCGCAAGCTCTGGTCAGGGGACTCAGACACGGAGAGTGAGGCCTCGGATTCGGACTTCGTGGCGGGGACCCAGGTGCCCGACTCGGACGACGAGCCTGACGCGCGGCACCTCTATGCGGAGCTCGCTAGGGGCCAGTCGGCCCTCCAGGCGAGCGCCGCCTCCCTGGCCGAGGCGGTGGCGGGCAAGACGGGCGCCGGGCACGACGAGCCGTCGACGCCGAAGAAGCCGCCGAGGCGCCTCCACTTCGAGAGCGACAGCGAGGACCAGCCGCCCGAGAAGCCCTCGGGTACTCAGGTGGACGCGTTCCTGAAGAAGCTGCAGGAGCACGAGCGTGTGGTCTCGGAGGACTCGGGCCGTGCCACCAAGGGGAGTGCGCCGACGTCGGCCTCTTCTACACCCACGAGCTGGGATAAGGTCTCCGCGGGGTCCGCGGGGGTGCGAGACACCGTGGCGCAGCTCGAGATCGAGTCCCGCAACCCGAAGGAAGGGCTCCTCGCCACGCTCAAGTCCTCCCGCGAGGTGGACGGGGGCCGAGTCGGGGGGGTCCAGGCTCGAGTGGCCCCGACGGTGCTTGCACGTCTCTACAAGTCAGGGCGGGGCGCGCGGGCCGAGCTGGACGACTGGCTCAGGCAGAAGGAGCTCATCAAGTGCTCCATCGCGTCGGAGGTGTACATGCTCGGGGCCGTCTTGGACAAGATGATGTCGGCGGGCGAGTTCGACTCCTTGATCAACTCGCAGGCGGCCGAGCTCACGTGCTTGCGCTTGTACTCGATTTTCAAGGCCTACGAGCTCGTCGAGCAGGAGGCGGATTGGCGACGCCCGAAGTCGGCGAATGGCAGCAAGTGGAAGTCCAAGGTGAACTGGGCCTACGCGGAGGAGTTCCTGGACTTGGCGAGGCAGACCAGCCCTGGCGTGCTGGCGGCGGACGACGAGGTGGCGGAGCGTCTCAAGCGGAAGGCTGCGATCAGCAAGCACCTCGGCGGGCTCGCCGAGGCAGGCGGTCGTGGCCATGCGGACGAATAGGTTGCGGCAGGAGGTTTCACGGCCACCTCTTGCCAAGCCAGCACCCAGTGCATAAGTCCGTGTAGCTTGATCGCCCAGAGTCTTGGAAGGTCTTCGACGGCTACGAGGGGTTGGGACTGTCGCGCTGTTGGGCGTGGCTCGGCACGTGTGATCAGTTGCGTCCTGGTGGTCTTCGTCCACTTGTATATCGGGGCGCAGCTCTACCAGACTGTGGGCATCTCTCATCGTGGACTGTATGTCCAGTTGCTCCCCGATGGCTGGGGCTTCTACGTGCGATCGTCAACGCGACCCGCTGCGAGACCTCCCGACGCCGCCCTACGCGGCGATGGCGGGGAGAGATCCCCACTTGACGGAGAGGGGCCGCAGGGTGACGTGGCGGAGGCTTGCCAGGGCGACGGCGGCGATAAGGTCTTTGGCTCGAGGGCACTGCAAGGTAGTGGAGGAGCTGAGGATCGACTACCCGCCATCCACCTGGTCGAGCGCGACGCCGACACAGAGGACGATCATCAACGAGCTCTGGTCGAAGTTGGTGCTGAGAGCCGACTGGGGGAGCATCAGCGATGGCAGGGCGGTTCTCGGCCGCCTGGGCGCGGGAAGAATGATGGACTATGGCGGTGTCGGGCAGACGGCACGGACAACTGGACGACTGAAGAAGGGGGACCTGTGCGGCCTCTTGGCGGAGCAGGTGTCGGTCCCCCGACGGGGCGCCAGGGGCCTACCCATATCGAAGCTGTCGGCGGCCGCGACCCCCTACCTAGAGAACGTGGCGGGGCTCATGCTGAGGACGGACGACGAGATCGACTGGGACAAGTATCGGGGGATGACGAGCTACTGCGACCCAGGGTGGAGGAACAAGAAGAACCGTCTGGAGCTGAGCCTCCGCATGTGGGAGGGGGGCATGTTGACGTACGTCGACCACATCGAGGAGCGGGTGGGCGTGTTTACGGTGGTGAAAAACCTGAGTCAGGACGACGAGGGCCGAGTGGAGTCATCGCGGCTCGCCTGGGACTGCCGGCGTCTCAACCTGAGGTTTCGGAGGCCACCGTGGACGGGACTGGGGTCACCGAGTGCGCTGAGTTCACTGGATTTGTCTCCCGACGTGCTGGGTACGAAGGAGCTCTTCTCGTTCGCGGGGGACATTCCAGATTGGTTTTACAGGCTGAGATGGAACAGCAAGTTGGCGGAGTTTTGTGTGCTGGAGGACGTCTCCCCGAGGGAACTGTGGAAGTATTCCTGCGAAGTGGGGAGGCCGATGGAGGAGCCCTCGGCGACGAGCATGGGTGTTGGAGCCATCGCACCCGTGATGGGTCATTCCTGGGCTGTGTTCTTGGCCTACTCCTGCCTCACCGAGTGCCTCAGGGACGTGCAGGGCTACGAGGTGGCGGAGCTGGCGTACGGGCGCCCGACCCCCTCCTTCGAGAAGGCCTCGCTGATCCTGATGCTCTACATCGACGACTACATCGGTTTCAGGATCCTGGACGCGAAGGACGGCGACATCCAGATAGACAAGGACATCGTCAAGGGCTCTCTCGAGGCGAAGGGTCTGCAGGTTCACAAGGAGGATTGGGGGCCTGGGATGACGAGGGGGCTAGGCCTGACTATCCGAGGACGGCCATGCACCGTCATGATACAGCCCGAGAAGATGAAGGAGCTGGTCTTGGCGACGGAGGCCATCGTGATAGCTGGGAGCACCACGCCATCGCGTCTGTCGTCTTTGCTGGGGATGTGGACCTGGTGTCTTATGATCTCTCGGTCTGGCTTCGCGATCCTCAGCGCGATCTACTCGTGGGTGCAGGAGCGCATGGGCGACGAGTGGGACGTGAACCTGAGGCTCCCCCAGGACGTCGTGTCCGAGCTGATGGCGCTGGCGAGCCTCTCGGTTTACTTTACCTCCAACCCCGAGGCCGACTGGCACCCCAAGGTGTTCATGACGGACGCCTCCGAGGAGGGGTACGGCATCGTCCAGACGGAGGCCACTTCGAGAGAGTGCCGCGCGGAGATGAGCAAGGGGAACCACCAGGTCTGGGAGATGGGGACCGAGGAGGTCTTTGGCGAGATCGAGCAGGAGATCGAGATGGCTGGACAGGAGGACGACGAGGTCATCCACCCCCCAGCGGGGACACCAGGCTTCCTCGAGCTCTACTCGGGCGTCGAGGCGCTGACGGACGACCTGAGAACGATCGAGGGCATCTGGTGCGAGGCCTCGGAGATCCTGCGCGGCCCGAACTACGACCTGATGATCCCGAGCGAGCTCGAGCGGCTCTTCGGACGGATCAGGAGGCGCTGGTGGTGGTTGGCGCACCTGCAGCCTGGCAAGGATGCTATCGCACAGCACCTGGCGCTGGAGGTGGCCAAGCTGATGCGCAAGGAGGGCCTCGTCTTCACGGCGGTCCTTCGGCACAGACGATTTATCGACGAGGTCTGGTCCGACTTTTTGGAGCTGGACGGGGTCTACGGCTACACCTGCGGCGACGCGTTATCGGAGACGCTGCTGGTGACCAACGACAAGCGGTTCTCGAGGCTTCGCAGTGTGGAGGAACCTGGGACCTGGTCAGGCACGGTGGAGACGGACTTCAACTACGGCACTGCCTGGCGGAAGTTGCACGGCGAGACCGCGGCGGAGATCTTGCCCGATTGGCGCAGAGTCTCGGCGGGGGCCCAGGCGAGGATCGAGGAGGGGCAGCTGAAGATCGTGCGAGCGAGGGGTCAGGCCCTACCCGCTTCTGCCTCATGGACGACGGTTTCGAGGTGGGCCTTACTGTTTCAGGGGAAGTGGGCCAAGGAGGAGCACAACAACATCCTCGAGCTGCGCACGATCGTTGCTTTGCTTCGTCACCTTTCCCGATCGAGGCCTTGCTGGGGCAAGAGGGTACTGGTGTTCTCGGACTCCTTGGTATCCATGGGAGTGCTGGCCAAAGGACGGTCATCAGCGGCTGGCTTACTGCATCTGGCGAGGCAAGCGGCAGCAGTGGTGCTGGTGTGTGGCATCAAGCTGTGTACGAGATGGGTTGCCTCGGAGGACAACGTGGCCGACGGACCGAGTCGTGGGCTGGGGATCGGAGCGGCAGAAGCGACGAAGGAGGAGCACAAGTGGCGTCACACCCCGAAGGCGGTGAGGGTGATGCTGGGGAGGCCCTCGACGTGATGAATTATCTGGTGGAGCTGGCCGAGGCGCGGGAGGGGCCCGAGGAGTGGGCCTTCGGGCTCCAGCCCCCGCGGAGTACTTCGACGAGATCACGGCCATCTTGTCTCTTCCTGATCATCTTCGGCCTCGTGCACACCGTCGGAGCTGTTCGTTCGACATCGAGACCACCGCCCTTGAAGGCCAGGGGAGCCCTGGCTTGGACGAACGCGGCCACTGACACGTTGGAGTTCAACAACAGATTGGCGATCCACGCGGTCGACGACAAGACGAATGTGGTGTACGAGAAGGCTGTCAGGGATTTTCTCATCGACACAAAGAGGCTGGGCGTTCCGTTCGAGACGGTGCACCAGCGTGACAAGGCCTTGGCATCATACCTCTCGGATCTATGCTACGTACGTGGACTGGGTTATGCGAGTGGCAGTTTGGCTTTCAATGGCTTCATGCACATCTTCGAAGATCATCGTAACTACCTGCCCCTCGCCGCGAGGGCCCTCAAGGCGTGGGAAAGGCAGCAGCAGGGGCAGGAGGGGCAGCCCATCCCTATCGAAGGGGTCGCGCTGATAGTGGTGGATTTGTGTGAGCGCGGGCTGCCCCTCGAGGCCTGCGCCGTCATCGTGCAGCTGGACGGCTGGCTACGAGAGCAGGACTGGGCCGGCCTTCGGAGGCGCGACGTGAGCACGGACAAGACGGGGCGCATGGCCTTGCTCCTGGGGGACCGCGCCAGGGGCGAGAAGGTCAAGACGGGGTCGGGCCAGGGCGTCGAACTGACGACGGAGCTCGGCAAGCAGATCATGAAGGTCTTGATCTCCGACCTCGCCCCCGACGGTTGCGTCTTCCCCATCACCCCCGACAAGTACAGGCGCGAGTGGAACCGCTCCCTCGTCAGGCTCGGGCTCGAGCAGTTCGGGCCCCCGCATGGACTCAGGCACGCGGGAGCCGCACACTTTGTGGCGGGAGGGGGAGACTTGGAGGTCGCACGGAGAAGGGGGCGCTGGAACACCGCCAGTGCCCTCCAGAGGTATACGAAGTCGTTCATCCTCATTGCGAGGCGCAGCATCATGAGCGACGCCAATCTTCGAGACGGCGAGGAGTTCTGGCGGGCCCCAGGCATGTTCATGGCACAGGCGCTGGGGAAGTCCAGGGTGGCGCAGAAGCCACTCACTGCTCGTCTGATAGTTATGCTGAAGGGGCTGCCGCAGGGCGACTCGCTGCCGCTCGGCTCCACCGAGGAGCCGCGCCCAGAGGTGGCGAGGCCCAGGTCGGGCCTCAAGGCGCAAATTAGAAGGCGCAGTACGTAGCCTCACTTCTCCATTTAATGTGAAGAATGATGTATTTTCGGGGATCCCTAAACATGTGCCTAAGCTGGGGGGGTCAGGACTAGTTACCTACTCCTTCGCCCCTCCCTCCCTCCCCCCCTGGTGTGCTACGTTCTGCGCAGTGCAATCTAGATAGGGCCTGCGGCCAGAAGGGGCTGGTTGGCCTGTGTGGGGTCTTCCGCACGTGATCTGTTTTTGTTGGCCTCGAGGGCCCCCTGGAGTGCCAGGTCAGGTACCGACTTTTTGGGGCCCTCGGGGCCCGCCTGCAGGTCCCGAGCGGGATCGATCGAACAAACGTTGGGGGCTGGACGCCCCACGCTCGCCCGTGTCTGGTTTCTCCTCGTCTTCTGCTGCTGTGTCGGGTATTCGCAGTTATCCTTTGAAGCCTGACGGCGCCGTGGGCGCCGCCTGCCCCCCTACAGCTCTGGCACGAGGGATCCTAGGACAGCATAGTTTAAATAAATGTTATTGTAACGCTCTTTTATACTGCTTGTTCCCCCCCCTCGTGCCGTCCTCTTCTGTGTCCTCCCTCGGCTCTGCCGTCCACAAGATTTCGGCCCCGCCCACCCTCCTCTCGAGGGGAGGGGTCTTCCGCACGTGATCTGTTTTTGTTGGCCTCGAGGGCCCCCTGGAGTGCCAGGTCAGGTACCGACTTTTTGGGGCCCTCGGGGCCCGCCTGCAGGTCCCGAGCGGGATCGATCGAACAAACGTTGGGGGCTGGACGCCCCACGCTCGCCCGTGTCTGGTTTCTCCTCGTCTTCTGCTGCTGTGTCGGGTATTCGCAGTTATCCTTTGAAGCCTGACGGCGCCGTGGGCGCCGCCTGCCCCCCTACAGCTCTGGCACGAGGGATCCTAGGACAACATAGTTTAAATGTGTGTTTTTTCTCCTCCTGAAATTCATAGACCACTGCGTGCAGTACCTGGCAGCACCAGCTGCCATCACCCAGTGCAGGCAGACTTGTGAGCAGAGCGAGGAGAACGCCCGAAGGCCACCGATCACCAACGCCGAGGCGCCGCACATCA